TTTTTTTTTTTTACCTCTTCAGGTGGAAGAAGATCCCAATGGGTGAGAAACTGGGCTATATGGAGGTACTTCAGGGATTATTTTCCAATAAGAGTAAGTAACAGTTTAACTCTGCATTGAGACTTAACTGTTTTAGACTGGCTTGTAATAACCCCTGTGGAGATGATGTTGTACCTATACTAGTCTGTCTGTGACGCTGAATTGTAAGCAGGACACAGCTTACTCCCCCTTGCCATACTACTGCTTGGAGCAGCTGCGATTATAAAATCTGAAACGCATCACTGGTGGTGGTAATCATGATTTGTAGAAGCTCCTGCTTCTGATGGTCTTATCACCAGGCTTCTTGAGGCAACTTCTTTTCTGCTGCAGCTGTCCTGTGTTGTGCCCAACCTTACCGATGTAAACCTAGTTTGGTTCTGGTCTGTCTTCCAGTTACGCCCTAGGGTAGCAGTGCATTGGGTAAGGATAGTTGGGAACGCTACCTACCAAAAGTCCTACCCTTCACAGGGAGCAGTGAAATCAGCCCTGAATTCTATCTGCTTTGGTGAAGGGGGGGTCCAGCTTTAGGAATAGCTCCAGTTCTCCATCTTGTAACTTGCTCACCTCCTGCTTGTATTTTCCCTGCTGGTTTAGACGTGTCGCAGACAGAGGACGGGGCTGTCGGGCAGCTCTGGGGACTGCAGAATTAGCTGAAGGACTTGGAAGGGAGCAGGGGCCAAATTCAGCTAGGAGGGAACCTGATCCTCTTTGGAAGGACGCACGGCTGAAAGGAGTATTATGTAAGGCTGTTGGCAAGTTTTATTCAGCCTGAGCAAATGGGAGGGACCTTGCCGAGGCTTTTGGTGAGCCACCCACCCCTAAGGTTGTCCAGCCTCAGAAGGCAGTAGGGACTCCTACATCAGCAGGACACCAAAGAAGCGTAGACCAGATTACTCCTTTGGAACGTCACTTGAACTCTCAAGGTGCCTGAACGTGCTGCCGGTGAAAAAACCTCTTGCTGTAACCTGCTGCTGTTATCAGGTAATTCTTGGCAAGTGTGGCGTACATGGAAAAATGCACTACAACTGCACAGGCTGCAAGTGGGTGGTCAACCCAGGTCTCCTTGCTAATGGAGAACACAGCATGCTCTAGTGTTGAAGATGGGTCTTGAACGTGTTGTCTTCTAACACCAAGTCCTCAGTACTGCAACAATCCCTGACACTTTGATATTGCTGGAGGCTAAAATGGGCTGGTTTCCCCTGTGGACTTGATTCAAGAAGGTCACCAGTAACGGCTGGTCCCCTTGCTTCCCCACTCCTTTAATGGTGTATTTAGCCCCTGTCTTCATGGAAACATGCTCCGCACCAGCCATCCTGGTCAGACCCACTGTAGATATTAGGTTTGTCAAACTGTTGGGTTGTTCAAGTAGGGTTAGAGATGAGATCATGTAGATAAAGTGAACGTCTCCGCTGTTTTTAGGTAAATACTTGCTAGTTCACTCAGTCCACTTGCGAGAACTCCTTATGGCTGTAATTCCTTTGTCGCTAAGGGGGTAGAGCTGTGTGAGGTTTACAGACCCTACTGCCCAATGGTATGCAGAGGGCGGCGCATGAGCACTGACAGCTGTGGGATGACTCCCGCACCTGCTATGGAGAAACAGCCAGCTGGCTGCGTCTTTGTTAAAACCTGCTACAGGGGCTGTGAGGTCCTAGCACTGGCTGCCTGCAATTAGGGGCATGGATGTCATCTCTTGAGAGTGGTACCAACCACCAGAACAGCTTGGGTTTGGACTTGCTAAGAGCATGGGAACTCCTTGGGTAAACTGTTTTACCCGTCTTCAGTTAAGAGGGAGACTGGTCTAGTGAGGACCACTTGGTTAAATCTTCTGTCTGCAAACTTCCCCCTAGCTGGATCCTGAACTGTCTATGTAATGGCTCGGCATTACATAGTCTTCCTGGCTCGTGGTTTGTTGGAACAGGCATCTGCTGCACCTCATGCCCTGCCATGAGCACCATGAGGGCAGATCACACCAGTGACAATTTTACGGTGGCACTTGTAATGCTAAACTCGCTTTTGCAAGCTCCTCAGTGGCTGCAGACCTGATGTCCAAGGTTTCCATGTACCAAACTAGTGTAAGCTCAGTCTTGATGGTGCATCAAAAGAAGTATGGCCAGCAGGTCAAGGGAGGTGATTCTGCCCTTGTGAGATGCCATCTGGAATATTGCATCCAGCTCTGGAGCCCTCAACATAAGAAGGTCACAGGCCTGTTGGAGCGGGGCCAGAGGAGGCCCCAGAGATGCTGTGAGGGCTGGAGCTCCTCTGCTGGGAGGACAGGCTGGGAGAGTTGGGGGGGGTCAGCCTGGAGAAGAGAAGGCGAAAAAGGGGAGACCTCAGAGCCCCTTCCAGTGCCTAAAGGGGCTCCAGGAGAGCTGGGGAGGGACTTTTTACAAGGGCACGTAATGATAGGACAAGGGGGAATGGCTTTAAACTGGAAGAGGGGAGATTTAGATGAGATATTAAGAAAAAAAAATTTCACTGGGGGGGTGGTGAGACAGTGGCCCAGGTTGCCCCGAGAAGCTGTGGCTGCCCCATCCCTGGAGGTGTTCAAGGCCAGGTTGGAGGGGGCTTGGAGCAACCTGGTCTGGTGGGAGGTGTTCCTGCCCATGGCAGGGGGGTTGGGACGAGATGATTGTTAAGGTCCCTTCCAACCCAAACTGTTCTATGATGCAAGCTGAATCTGGCCAGACTGAAACACTACCAGTATCGACCTCTGACAAAGCTGTACGTTAGAACTTGTGGCTCAGTTTGGCTGCATTCCTCTACAGATCTGCTGCTGGCCCCAGGCTTGCTTTGACAGAGTAGCTGCATGAGAAGCAGGATTGGCTCTGACATTTATTATGATGATTATGCTGCTTCTCCACCTGAGCCAGCAGTGCCTCCCATCCTGAAACACCAGTAGGACCCTTGTCTGTGTATCTGGAGATAGCAGGTCGTGTTTTGTAATACCAGGTGGATTTGAGAAACAGCCTGAACCTGGTTCTATTCCTCAGTGTGAGCAGAAGTTGTCCACACTCACTGGGGCTTCATGCAGCTGCTCTGACAGTAATAAGCTATTTTAGGGCACTAGAGGCTTAAGTTTGTCTGCTGCTTAGTGGCTGGCCTTGCTTTAAGCTAAGCAGTGCGTGAAGCAGCTGAGGAAGCTTCCAGTGAGCTCAATCCTGGTGCTCAACTGCCAGGTAAAGCCGGAGCTCTTGTGGGTGCGAGCATGGTGCTGTGCACCTGGCTGGACTCAACCCCACTGCTGCAGAGGCAGGCATGGTCCCGGGAGCGTCCCAAGGGCGTCCTGCTGACCTCCGTGGTCCTGGGAGTGTCCCGAGGGAGTCCTGCTGACCTCTGTGGTCCCAGTAGCCTCCTGAGGATGTTCTGCTGACCTGCATTGTCCTGGGAGCGTCCCGAGGGCGTCCTGCTTACCTCCATGGTCCCGTCAGCCTCACAAGGGCATCCTGCTGACCTGCATGGTCCTGGCAACCTCCTGTGGACGTCCTACTGATCTGAGAGTGTCATGTGGGGAGTGCCACAATCTAAAGGTCTTCTTTAGGTAAAGAAGCCATCACCCGAGCATGAGAGCACAGCTACTGCTTATCTCCACAGGCGATAGCACTTCAGATAGCAATGCCTGCAGACCTTTGTCTCCCCTTTCTCAAGCAGGGAGCATTTCAGATGTGTGCAGTGAGATGTCCTCGGTCTCCTGCAGGGCACCAGAGCAGGGACTGTTGCAGGGCAGTGACTTTTTTCTGCAGCATTTTTGCTTGCCCTCTGTGGCTTGGCTGGCTTCCTGGAAAAGCAGCTCATTAGTTGTCATTGCAGATGACTTACAGAAATGGGAGGCGTGTGCTTCCTATGTGTGATGTAGCGCAGTGGTAATATTGAGGGCCTGGAGGGGTCCTGGCCCACGTTGCTGGGGAAGGTGAGAGAACTCCTTCCGTAGCGCTGCTGGGTGTGATGCAGCTAATTGCAATTGTTCGCTTGTTTTGCAAGCTTACGCGCTCACTCCTGCTGCTCGGATCCCGCAGGATGAGCTCTAACTTTCTGCTTTCTGCACGCTTCTGTGGTCGCTGTGCTTCTCAACTTGTACGTAGGTTGAGAACCCACCTGGACTGCTTATCCTGCTCTCTGCTGGCTCCTGGTGCTGAGCAGCAGTGCCTTTGCAGTCCCCTTTCTCCAGACTTGAATGCGCTACTTGCTCATCCTGTTCCTACCAATAAAATTGGCAATACTGTTCTTTGGGTGTATCTGGCACTCAAATGTTAACACTGGCTTTTTTACCATAATTGCACTGCTTTATTGCTTCTGTAGGCAGGCTTAGATCTGTTTAAAGAAATCTGTTATTACTATAGCAGAGGATGGACCTTTGCTCCTGCTCAAACAGGTTTGGTCTCAGACAGCAGCTGGGAACACGTGTGTTAGTGCAATGGGGTGAAGGTCCAGCTTCAGTCCCAGCACTGTACTCATGGAATGGTTTGAGTTTGAAGGGATCTTAAAGATCATCTCATTCCGACCCCCTGCCATGGGCAGGGACACCTCCCACCAGCCCAGGTTGCTCCAAGCCCCGTCCAGCCTGGCCTTGAACGCCTCCAGGGATGGGGCAGCCACAGCTTCTCGGGGCAACCTGTGCCAGGGGCTCACCACCCTCACAGTGAAACATTTCTTCCTAACATCTCATATCAGTCTCCCCTCTTTCCATTTAAAACTGTTCCCCCTCATCCTATCACTCCACCCCCAATCCAGAGTCCCTCCCCAGCTCTCCTGGAGCCCCTTTAGGCACTGGAAGGGGCTCTGAGCTCTCCCCTTTTTCGCCTTCTCTTCTCCAGGCTGAACCCCCCCCCAACTCTCCCAGCCTGTCCTCCCAGCAGAGGGGCTCCAGCCCTCCCAGCATCTCCGGGGCCTCCTCTGGCCCCGCTCCACCAGGTCCATGTCCTTCTTATGTTGGGGGCTCCAGAGCTGGATGCAATATTCCAGGTGGGGTGTCATCATGGGAGCTCTGGGAGCTCTGAGCTTTCAAGGAGCACAGGGCTGTGTGGGACTGGAGAAGAACTTGAAGGCAAAAGTAAAAACCTGTCGGAGGTTTAGAACAAAGCGGTGTTGTCAGATGACAGCTACAGCAGTTCCTTAGGCCATCTTGATAAGGCAGTCCAGCTGCTCAGTGTCTGCTTGCCAAGGGGAAAGGTGCAAGACAGTTAGTAGTGAGTGATCAGCCTCCTAAAGAAAGCTTCAGTCTTGCTTGAGTCTGGAAATAAGTGATCACAGCACTTCAAAAATTGCTGCTTCTAGATTAAATCCAGGGATCCATGAGGGCTCTGCCTTTGGTGTAGGCAGGTCAGACCCTGGGCTGAGTTTATGCATCAGCAGGTCTAAGACCTGCACTGTGTCCAACCTGGTCTAGTGGGAGGTGTCCCTGCCCATGGCAGAGGGGTTGGAACTGCATGATCTTCAAGGTCCCTTCCAACCTAAACCATTCTATAAGTGTACAAACCTGTCTACCTGGTGGTGTTTGGTTGCCCTGGCTTGTCTTGGGTGGAGAAAGAGACATTCACCTACTGTGAACCCATCTGTTGTGGGACAACCTGTGGAGGGCAGTGGCAGCTTGTATTGGACAAAGTGATGGGGAAAAGCACATATATGAATGCCAGGCTGACTCTCAGACCTGTAACTCCCTGTTGTGAGTGTTTGATTCTCTTTGGGTCCCCCGTGCTGCCCTCCTGCCTTGCCATGGGTGGGCTGTGCAGGTGAGCTGGTTCCCTGCACACCCCTTGCCTTGTTCCCGCACTACTTGTCCGAGCGGCGTGGGTGAGTGTGGTGGGTATCACCATCCCCCTGCCTACATAACAGGAGGTCTTGGAAAGCAAACACAGAGCGATAAGGCTGCAGTTTGGCTGGGGCTCGTACGAGGTATGCCAGCAACGGGGTCCACTGGGAACTGGGTGTCCTTCCACATGGTGGTGGAGGGGCTGGAGCAGGGTCCCTGCCAGGGCTGGCAGCAGGAGAACAGCAAGTCTTCTGTATGAGAGCAGATGCGTGGCTCTGCCAAGCTCAGCTCACAAATGCCACGTGCTCCAGAGTGACAAGGACAAACCCCCTGTTTCAGCTGGCTTCCCTTTTAAAGCAGCTGTGCTTGGTGCAGGTGAAGAATGGGGCTTGGAGCCTGGAAACCCCCACCCTCCCCTAACAAGAGCTTGAAGGAGAAGTGCCGGTGGTCCAACCAAGCCACACGTGTGTGCAGCCACCAAGCCTTGAGTCTCTGCTACAACTGAGCAAGAACTGAGATGTCCACAAAAATGATGCGAGGGCTGGAGCACCTCTGCTGGGAGGACAGGCTGAGAGAGTTGCGGGGGCTCAGCCTGGAGAAAAGGCTCCAGGGAGACCTTATTGTGGCCTTCCAGTGCTTAAAGGGGCTACAGAAAAGATAGGGACAGATTTTTTTAGTAGGGCCTGTTGCGGTAGGACCAGCTTAAAACATTTCTTCCTTATATATAGTCTGAATTTACCCTCTTTTAGTTTAATGTTGAGCGTGGTGAGACACTGGCCCAGGTTGCCTAGAGAGATGGGAGATGCCTCATCCCTGGAAACATTCCAGATCAGGTTGGACGTTGCTCTGAGCAACCTGGTCTAGTTAAAGGGGCCCCTGCTCATGGCAGGGGATTGGACTAGATGGTCTTTAAAGGTCACTTCCCACCTAAACCATTCTATGGGTCTGTTCTGTGGAGGGGTTGTTTACTGTACCACTGCTTTCTTGGAGAGTGGTTTCCATTCTGTAGAAGGGGAGCACTGTTTGTCCTATCTGGTCAAGGGATAGCCCTCCCACCCCAGGGGAGTGCAAGCAAAGTCATTTCCTAATTGGGCAAGAAGGGAAAGGGAAGAAAGGATGACTTGGTGTGACGCAGGCTGTGGGGCTCTATGGAGCTGCTGCAACCGCAAGCATCTGCACATGCTTCCTGGAGCCCTACGTGACCTCAAAGCTAGAAGAAAGTGTGGAGAGTCAACTTGCTTAACCCGCTGCTGTGTCACGTCTCTAATGCTGCTGCCGCCGTCCTAAATAGCACAAGTGCTGTAGCCTCATCTAGGGACAGTGGTGGGAACAGGGAGAGGAGGGAATCGGGTTTCTGGGCACGCCGCTTCAGCGTGTCGCAATGGCGCTTCAGCTCCCTGTAGAGTGATTCAACAAAATGGACTCGCTTGCCTACTGCCAAAACACTTCTTGGCCAAGGCAGTGGGGGTATGTAAAGCTGATGTGATGGAAATCTGTACTTTTTTCCTATGGGCGCTGACACAGGAGTGACCTTCGCATGTACAACTTGAGGGATGGGGTGAAGTTGTTTAGCACCTCACGCTGAGGGTGTAACTGGGGCTTGTAGGTCCTGCCCCAGTCTGAGAGCTGCGGCAGTCAGCAAAAATTGACACCACCGCAGCCTGAAAAAGACTAAATTCGATCCCTGCTTCTGTAGGGTGATGCAGCAGTCCTGTTGTATGCTTACTCAGGCCGCTTGCTTACTGCCAGGGGAAGATGCTCTAATGCATGGGATGCTGCTGCTACTTATAGCATTAAAAAATAAAAAAGCCTCTGGCAGTAGTGTTAGCAGGGCATGGGTCGTGCTGTGCATGGCTAAGACAGCTTTGGAGTGTCCATGGTGTGCAAACAGATGAGTAAATGGTTAGAAATATTGCACAACCCCAAACCAATACGGTCAGCACTCCTGGAGCGTGTCCTGCAGAAATTGGAGCGCTGCTGTGGATGGCTTGAGGTGCCTTTTTGGTGTGCAGACCACAGCAAATCCTCCTGAAAGGAGGGATGGCTTCCAGTGGTAAGCCACGGTTCTGCACATTTTCCCTCTTGGAGGGTGGCCAGCAGGCATACTAAGCGGTTGGGTCATTTTTCAGGTGTTAAGCAAACTTGCTTCTCTTATGGGACACTGATTTTTTATTGCTCCCCCTCCCCCCCACTGGGATGTGAGTCACTAATGTGCTGAGAAAGGGCTTGGAAGGAGGCGTAGCCGTGGCTATAGGGCCGTGAAGAACTTGGTTGGTTTGGGCAAGAGGCTTGCAAGAATACCTCTGGGAGGAGTAGAGGTTTCTCTAAACAAAGGGCACCACTTACTGCAACCCAGCCCCTATTCCTGCTTGGCTGGCAGTCGTCTCCTGTCTAAGATCAGCCTGTTTGTTCTGCTCCCTCTGCTTGGGGAACCGAGTCTAAGTGGCTGCTCTCACCACAGCCTCTGAAATCCAGGATAGCCCATACCCTCAGCCCTTGGGTTGTTCTACCTGGTGGGAAGAGAGACAAAAGATGGGGACTCTGACTTTTTTTTTCTACTTTTTTTTTTTATTACCTGAAAATATCTGTCTTCACGTGAGCTCCCTCTGTTCTTTCCTAGCTGGTTAAAACCCACAATCTGCTGACCACCAGGAATTACATTTTTGGGTACCATCCACATGGCATCATGGGCTTGGGTGCCTTTTGCAACTTCAGCACAGAGGCCACGGGTGTCAGCCAGAAATTCCCTGGGATCCGACCATACCTCGCGACTCTGGCTGGGAACTTCAGGATGCCCATTTTGAGGGACTACTTAATGTCTGGCGGTAAGCGCAAGAGCACTTTGTTCCTCCTACTCATGCCCTTGCCCCTGAGCTCTCTTCCCCTCTTTCAAATGAAAAGCTGTGGCAGAAGCTCACGTAACCACTTCTCTCTGGTGGCATCACACAAACGTTGCTTTCATGTAGTTGTCAAGAGGAAGCAGTGAATAAATGTCACTAATTTGGGCTGCGGGGACTGCTGCTCCTCTGCATTCAGCCTTAACTCAAGGATACTCTTGTCCAAAGGCATCGTAAAGATATCTGGCATCTGTAGTTGTGGGTGTGGAAGATGGAGACGTGGAAGAAGGTTGTTCTAGTTATCATTAGGAGGTACTGCTAGATGAAGAAGTTGCACTGGCTGAAAATATAAAGTATTCATTAGCCTTTGAAATGTGAATACTGTGGCTAGATTTGCTACTGGGCTCACTACCATGTGAGCTGTCACACATCTAGGTCTTAATGGTGATGACAGATGCCCTCTTCACCCAACCGCATATTTAGGTGCCTGCCAGGTGTAAGGAGTCTGGGGTATTGCATGGTTTCAGCTGTTCAGAGGACCCCCTTCCCTGAAAAGATAGATCACAGGGAATAGGCAGTGATGTAAGTTTGCTGAACTACGTTAATAGGTCTGTTCTAATGGATTCTGGTATTTTAATGATGGAGGATTTACAGGTTATGACTGGGCAGAGGAAGCAGTGTTGACAACCTCAAGAAACGGTGTTCTCTGAGCTTCCTTTTCAGACTGAGGATGCCTGTTGGTTAGGAACAAATGAGGGAGTAACGTTTAAAGACCATGAATTGAACAGTCCAGTACCCTGTTTGCTGTTCCTGGAACAGATTCACCAATAAATGACTCTAAAATGGGTATCTTAATATAGCGTGTTGGCTGAATCTTGACTCATAGCTGGGTAGAGGATGGGAGTAGCTGTACTTGGCTCTGGCTTGCTAGGTTTGACTTTTTCCAAGATTACTGCCTTAATTTTGTTCAGCCCGGAGAAGAGAAAGCTCTGGGGAGACCTTAGAGCAGTCTTCTGGTATCTGAAGGGGACCTACAAGAAAACTGGAGAGGGATTTTTTATAAGGGCATGTAATGATAAGACAAGGGGGAATGGCTTCAAACTGGAAGAGGTGAGATTTAGATGAGATATTAGGAAAAAAAGTCACTTGTGAGGGTGGTGAGGCACTGGAACAAATTGCCCCGAGAAGCTGTGGCTGCCCTATCCCTGGAGGTGTTCAAGGCCAGGTTGGACGGGGCTTGGAGCAACCTGGTCTGGTGGGAGGTGTCCCTGCCCATGGCAGGGGGTTGGAACTGGATGATCTTCAAGGTCTCTTCCAACCCTAATCGTTCTATGATTCTATGAATGTGGTGAAGGAGAAGAAAACTAACTGGATCTGGTGGGGGAAAAAAAAAGATGTTTTTTCCCTGCCTAGGAAGAGCAGTATCTCAAGCTGGTTTTTATCTTCCTGCACCAAGTGGAAATTGATGTGTGAAGTCCATTATTCCTGTAATTTGGGAATGCACAGGACAGTGGTGCATAAGAAGTTGGGAGCTGCTTTCTGGTCTGTCATGTCTGTAAACTTAGTTCATGTGTTCCTTAAGTTACCACATAGCATCAGCCTTTCTATATTAAAAAAACAAAAACAAAACAAAACACAAAACCAAACAAACAAAAAAAAACCCCAACCAAACAAAACAAACAAACCACCATATCTCCTTAAGATGACTGGTAGACAAATCTTCTGGTCAGCCAGAGCTGCTTCCTTCTTTTTGGAAGGAAGGTGGGAGTAGACATTAGCAACATCATTGACAGGGTTGGATTAGCTATCTCAGAGCAGCACAGTTAAATCTGGGGGGAAATTCTGCTTCCTCTGTACTCGGGATTTAAGCAAGACTATAGGTGTGATGTCTTGGACAAAGTCAACTTTCTGAAAGCCATTGTTGGTCTTCACCTTTCCTGTACTGGAATTTAAGGGTGTCACCATAAATGCTTTAATATCACTTTGGAAGGGCTGACGGTTCCCTCAATCCTTTGTTTTGTGGATGAACCACTTCAAGTGAAATCCTAACTAACATTACTGTACCAATACACGTTTAGTTGGTTTACAACCAACTCTTGCATATTATAATGTTTTATAGCCTACTAGAGATTAGAGCTACAGCAGGGATCCTCTAAGGCATGAGATGGCCAGAAAATCCTATATACTGTGTAAATGTGCTAAAGAGCACGATTGAGCAGTTGCTGCTTGTCTGCATGTCTGGTTGCATTTCCTGGAGGAAGGATTTCAGTGCTCAGTGCTGTGAGCGGGTGTAATCTCCTTTTGCCTACAAGTGTGAAATGGCTGAGCATAAATCTGTGCTGCCCTCTTAGGCAGGGCTGTGTAGTCGGAGTGAGCCTTGGTGCAGAGAATGGGAGAAGTACGAAGGCTTCTCTCTGTCCTATGGAGCAGCAAGCACAGCCCGAGCCTTCCAAAGGAAACGTGGTCAGGGAGAAATGTAGTTGTGCTGAAAGAAATGAGTTGTTCATCTTCAAATCCAGCTGAACTGTCTCAAGCGAGGTCGGCTCCCCTGTGGTCTGAAGCTGGGATTAGGTGGTGACCTTGATGCCCAGATACACATGAAGGCTTGCCGACTTGCCCTGTATAATTCTACAGGACCCATTCATCATTTAGTTCTTGGTTCAAGTGATGACTACCATGAGATGTGCAGAATCAGCTTCTAAAATTAAATTGTGTAATACTGCCCTTCCTAGGGCAATGACCTTAAGTACTCAACGCAGCTCAGGCATGTTGTCTGGATGGGAATGTAAACGATGGCATCTCACTTCTCCTGGCCAAAAATGTGAGGCATGAGCAAGCTCTGACAATAACTGTAAGATAAAAGCACGAGTTTCAGGAGCGGAGAATCAAACTTCTTTGCTTTTTTGGAGCAATAAATTAAAAATTAAAGGGTCCCTCTTTCACTGGGCTGAACAGTAAGATCCTTGGAGTGGGGCCTGATGCTTTAGGGTAGGGGTTGCTTTGTAAAGCTGAAATGCTGTGACTGGCAGTGCAGTCCTGTCTCTTCCAGCATGGGGCAGAGGGAAAGACCTCCTCAGATACTTGTTTGAGTACGGACTTACCTGAGCACTCTGTACCATACGCCTCTTCTCTCTCAGGAGAGCAGAGGATTGTGCTGTTGCCATGCAAGAGCTTGAGATGTTAGCTCAGAAAAGCTATTTTTTGAACTAATCCATAATAGATCTGCCCCTGGAAGACTTGTCGATTTATTCTTTTAGTATCACTAAAGCATCCTCCCAAAGGACGACCTATTCCACCACTTGGTTTTGCTGAGGAACTGGTCAAATTTGGACTCCCATGTATCAAAAATAACACAATTGCTTTGCTTCCCCCCTGACGATAAACCAGCTCTTACTGCAAAGTTTACTTGGAGGGAGGACGTCTTAAATAATTGCCCTTGGCATCACTAAGCACAGAAGAAAATCTTTGCTGAAGCCTTTTGTGTTAAGGGAAAATTTTTGAGAGCTGATGTTGGTGGAGTTTGTCTATGACCAGGTCTAGTGCTGCCCAGGTCTCTCAACTGCTTGTTCAGTTGAGGAACAGGTTGCCTGATAATACACCCAACCCTATAGGACCATAGGGCATTTGGACAACTCAACTTGCAATGGAGGCACAAACTTTTTACTACAAGTATGGCTGGTGTCTTCAAGATCATCTCAATCTTGCAGCTTGACCCTTATGTCTGTCTCCTGGGTATGCAGGTATATGTCCAGTGAACCGTGACAGCATCGACTACATCTTGTCCAAGAACGGCAGCGGCAATGCCATCATCATTGTGGTCGGAGGGGCAGCGGAGTCCCTGAACTGCACCCCAGGGAAGAACTCTGTGACGCTGAAAAACCGGAAAGGATTTGTGAAACTGGCTCTACGGCACGGGTAAGAGGCAACCTCAATGCCAGAGGGATACCACTAGCATATGGAAGGTGCTCATCCCCTGAAGCAGCTGATGGATTCTCCTTCCTGCAGCCTTGCTGTGTTATGTAGATGTGTGCCCAGAGCATCAGATGCATGAGCCTGTCCTCTGGCTGCTGCCCCTGAGCAGGGGACAGGGTAGGATGACGTCTAGGACAGCAGGAGGCTTCCAGGGCTAAGGAGTGGTGGGTGTCAGTAATCTGCACGGGGCATCACCTATGCAGCCCCTGTGATCTCTAGGGATCCCATGTGTCTGAAATGGCGTGTCCATCAGAAATCAGAGGTTTGAGCAACCTGGTCTAGTGGAAGGTGTTCTTGCCTATGGCAGGGGGGTTGGAACTCTATGATCTTCGAGGTCCCTTCCAACCTAAACTATTCTATGATTCTATGAGATGAGAATACATGGAAGCATATTCAATGTCTGACTGGGTAGTGATTCATGGGCCAACAATTCTCTTGCATGCCTTAAAAGTGTATCTGCTATATCATGTCAAGTCTTGCTGACTTATGCCACGACCTTGTGCTGCAAAGCTCTGGCCAATAAAATCTGTAAATGTGCAGCCTGAAAGAGTGCACAGCAGTGAGTGTGGTGTATTGACTGCACACCAGGGGTACAGGGTCCTAACTTCTTTCCATCTTTCTAGTGCGGACTTGGTTCCTGTCTACTCCTTTGGGGAGAACGAAGTGTACAAGCAGGTGATCTTCGAGGAGGGCTCCTGGGGAAGATGGGTTCAGAAGAAGTTTCAGAAGCACATTGGCTTTGCTCCATGCATCTTTCATGGCCGTGGTCTCTTCTCCTCTAACACCTGGGGGTTGTTACCTTACTCCAAGCCCATCACTACTGTTGGTAAGGTTTTGGTATAAACGTGCTACGTGCTTCTCCGGGTAGCAGCATACTTGAGTCTATGCCATACTTGTACTCTAGATTGGTCTTGGAGTCTTGACTATAAAACTCTGTTTTCCCTTCTATATAAATACTCCCAGCACAGCTGAGAATAAACTAGAAGACTTTCCAGAGGCTCCAAGCTTTCCATCATGCTCTACTGCCAGACAGTTTTGCAAGTGAGCTTTTTTGGGGGGGAAAAAAATGCTGTAGCTGCTACCTTCTCTGGTCTGGTCTTTGATGGCTAAAGTCAGAAGCAGTCCAGCCCCTACACTCCTAGGACTGGCAGTGTGATGCTGTCTGATAACTGAGTCTTAAAGCCAACCCTAAAATTTGCCACTGAGTCTTCCAACTCAAAGCAGAAAGGTTTTGAGAGGGGGGGAAGTAGGTTTGTTTTGGTTTTTTTTTTGCTTTTGCTGTGTGTATGGGGGAAAATACGAGAACTGCAGTTTTCAGTCTTGGTTCCTGTTAATTGAGGAGGGATTTATCACTCTACTGTAAGCAGAAGCAAGTGGGACTTCCCAACCACCTTGCCGCAGTAGAGGCTCTGCATTATGGGCATTTGTGGTGCAAAAATGGCATGTTTGCCCTGGGTATTGCTGCAGATGCAATGTGGGTCCCAGTAGTGGGACAACTGTGCTTCAGAGCTGAGCAAAACTGGGAGGAATTGGGAAAACCTCTGCTATAATAGCAAGCTGTGCTATGCCAGGGTGGATGTGTTGAACTAGCACAGCTGTGGCCATAGAGGATGAACCTTCAGGCCATACAGAGCATTCAACCTAATGTGGATATTTCCTTTTCCTTTTTTTTTTTTTTTAATCAGTTGGGGAGCCCATCACCATCCCCAAAATCGATAATCCATCCCAGAAAGAAGTGGACTTCTACCACAGCATTTATGTGGACTCCCTGATCAAACTCTTTGACAAGTACAAGAGCAAATTTGGCCTGCCAGAGACTGAGGTCTTGGAAGTCAACTGAAGGGACTGGCTCAGCAGCACCTTCTTCTCTCAGAATCAGCACATCTTCTCCAGGAGTCCAAGCTGTCATCATGTACTTGAAAGCATGTGTGGGTGTATGTGTCTTTGAAAGAAAGTGTTTAAAGTATTGCTAGAACACTTTTTAAAATAATAACAATTAAAAAAAAAAAAGGCTTTACTTTAGATAAATCCCATTACAAACATCTTTCTATCTAAAACAAAAAAAAAGCACAACTCCCCATTGCTGTGAGGATTTGGATGGGGGAAATGATTGCCTTTGTAATCTGCTATATAATGCCGTTGCGTTGCCAGCAGTGGATTAGAAGCATTCATGCAGCTACGTTACCCACTAGCACAAGCTATTTTGGGAGAGCAGGATCCATCTGGTTTTCAATCAAAAAAAAAAAAAACAAACCCAAAATGGCGGGTTAATTTGACTGGGACGGCAGTATTACGGGCGTGTTAGACAAAAGCCATGTTGAGACATGCTTACATAGCACAAGGGCATTTCTGCTTTGGAAAAGCCCCTTCTGAAAGCACAAGCAGGCCGCCAAACCCCCTGGTGTGGCACCTACTGGGGGTGGGGAGGGCAACCAAAGGAGACAGATGAGTCTGGTGGACCTCAATCCTGAGTTCAGTGGATGCTTTGGTAGCTTTAACTTTGCCACTTGTATTTTGAATGTCAGTTTAGAAGCAGGTCTGTCCCAGGTGCTGCTTGCACCAGGTGTAGCTGGAAATATGGGACTCCTTCATAGCCATGGAACTCCAAGGACAAGTTCTAGGAGCAGTGGGATGGTGCAATCACGTGGCCCCGGTGTTGCAGACCCTTAGGGTAGTCTGTAGGGGTAAATGCAGCGGGACTATTCATGCAAGTGTTTTGGATCCCAAAAGCATTTGAGAAAAACTAGGAGTAACTTCTGCCCAAAGATGGCTTTTAAATATTCCGTCCAGTGAATGTAAAGGAGTAGCCTTTTCACGCATAGGATCTAAAGTGAGTGGCTTTTTAAAGTGTTTATACAATGTTTACGTGGATGTTAACACTGCTTGTAGTGAGATTTCTTCAGAGTACAACGTGTTTATGTATAAACCTGAAACATTGCACTACTCGCGTGTCTGACCTGCCTTTTCAACGGTTCAGTTGAGTGTATTTTGAGCTCCAAAATGTGCCTTTCTTCCATGCAAGAGGACGGTACTTCACATTCCTGGAATCTTGCCTCTAAAGACAAATGTTCATCTGTCATATCTGATAGACTGTTGTATTACAGAGTATCAATTTTTGTACAAATTTCTAGAAATAAACTTGGGCAAAAATAGTGGGCTGCTTTGGTCTCTTTGGTGTTGCAGTGGTCTGTGGCTGGGTTTGTGGTGCCATGATGGTTTGTGGGATTGCAGCTGGGCCTTGGCTTTTGTGGGGAGAAAATGGGTCTGTTTGTCCAAAAGCAGACCCACACTGATCTGCCCTGTCCCTGCATGGGACATCCACGATAGGTTAAGCAAATCTTTGAGGTTTAAGGGTGGGGTTTTGCCTGTGAGTGTATAAGGCAGCCAACATCTATGGACCTCCTTGACTGAGCAGATACAGAAAGTTCATGCCCTGTTGCTCCTTTCAGCAAATTACCTTGGATTTTGTTGCTGCCTAGCAGATAATTAGCTGGATTACATCCCTGGTCCTCAAGCTCAGGAAATCCTTCCAGCTCTTGTCAGGCCCTCTGGCCTTCTACTGCTGGAGGTGCAAAGTGCTCCAGAAATAGCACACTTTGCTGTGAAGTTCAAGTGGGCTCTTTTAGTAACAAGCGAGGGTTTAACCTGTTCTCTCTTGGGCTGGGGCTGGACTACAAGGTCTGGAAGAGGTCCATCAAGGTTGGCTGACTTTCACAGGCTGACGCTGCTCTTCTCCAAGGGGAAAGCCAAACTTATTCTCTGTCCTTTTCAGGCTTGTCCAATGGAGGTTTAAAGTCTTCTGCTCCAGGAGATAAACCTGGTGTGTTGTTTGCTTCCCCTTTTCCTCAACCCTAGTAGAATTGATTGGTCCTGTTTTCTGTTAGCAAACATTAAGGCTGGGTTTCCAGTGCCTTGTCTGGAAATGCACAGCAAGAAAAACCATGAATGCTCTGCCCAAACCACTTTTGACAGTTTGTGACCACACAAGTCAGTAGAAACCACCCTTGGCACAAACTGGAGGATGTCAGTTCTTGCAGAGTTTTTTCCAAGCAATGTTTTCAATTATCAAGTTTTATATCAAAGCACAGCTGCCTCTTGCAAATTCCCCTAAAGAAATCCCCCTAAAGCAGAGGAGGGAGGGAGTTGTTTCAAATAAGAGTCTATTCTGGCAAAGGACTGCACTAATGGATGTCCTGTAGTTGTCCATACTGCAAGGTGGGACCAACTCTGCTCAAAACCCTTGGCTGTGCTGGAAGTCCCCTTAATTAAGGTCTAACATGATATTGCCACTGAATATTGTTCTTTTCACCTACTTACCACCGGTCTGTAAAAGGGAAATTTTCCTTGCATGTCTTCTTGTGCCCAAGGTACCAGCCCAGGACATGGTAGTCTCATACAAGTTTTAAGCACTCTGCTGAGCTGAGCTCATGGGCAGATGACTCCTTCCAAGCTTTTTTCTGCAGTTGGTTTTCCCTTCTCTTGCCAGTCTCAGGAGCGTAGGGGTAAAAGCCTTACCTGAAAATCATCTCTGGCTTGTGGAACATTTAATGATTTTGATTGATTTAGTGAAAAGCTCACTGGGGGTGTCCTGGCATTATAGGCATCTTCCCCTGCGCCTACATTTGGATTTAGATTGGGGTTTAGATTTAGGTTTAGATTGGATATTAGGAAAATTTTCTTCACTAAAAGGGTTGTCAAGCACTGGAAGAGGCTGCCCAGGGAAGTGGTGGAGTCACCATCCCTGGCGGTAATTTAAAGATTGGGCAGACGTGGTGCTGAGGGACATGGTTTAGTGGTGGTTTGGCTGTGTTAGGTTGATGGTTGGACTCAATGATCTTAAAGGTCCTTTCCAACCATAGCAATTCTATGAGTCTATACATTTTCCTGCTTATGCCTTTGCTTATGCAACATAGAGGCTTCTTGGGGAGGGGCTGTCTTTGATGTACACAGCATCCAGAATAAAAGAGATCATACTGTAAAATAACCTAAATGTTAGGTTAACTAGAAGTTAAAGTTATCACATCTGACTCAGTGGTGACCACGCTACATGTTGCTGGGGCAGTGTCATGATGGTACCACTATATTCTTCCCTTCTTGTCCAGGCATCTTCCCTTGGCCATAACAAGAGGTAGGCTCCTGCCCATGATAGACCAGCCCTGATAAAGTTGTTCTTACACTCTTTTCTGAGAAATGGGCATCTTTGCTTTCCTAGAGACCTGTCTTGCCTTTAGCTCAGCAAGCTCCCCTTCCTCTGCTGCTGTTTAGCTTAATATTAAGTGCATTTGCACTTCTCCAGCACCTTAAGACCTCCCTGTCCTCCTAACATTCCTCGTTATACCCACAAGGGTCCTCATAAATCTGTCCCTTTCTCTGCACTGGGCTGTATCGGCCCTTTCTGGTTCCAGCCTTTTTGTGCTCTTTTATTTGCTCCTTCCTGTCAGATGCATTTCTCTTCCCTTCTTGCTGGGATTTGGCTCACAAACTTGCCTGTTAAAAAGGGAAGGAAAAGTAGCTTGGGGCCTTACAACCTGTTTTTGTACCTGTTTGTGCCTCCTTACAGGCTGGAAGAGGGGACTTTCCACTGTCACCTCTTCTTCCTCATGCATTTATGTAGTTTCTGTCCTGTTTTGTCCTCCTTTGCCTCAAATCAGAGCTCTTCCTCCGGCAAACAGAACTGGAGCAAAAGGCTACGTGACTAAATTTATGGAAAGAACATGGCATTTGGGTGCAGGCCACCTGCAATGATCTGTTCCTTCCTCGACTGGCAGCCATAGGGCATCCTGAGCATGTCACGTGGGTTTACTTAGCCGCTTATTCCCTATCTGCGAAGCAGGGCAGCAGTATTTTTTATACCACCAGCATAGAATCATGGAATGGTTTAGGTTGGAAGGGACCTTGAAGATCATCAAGTTCCAACCCCCTGCCATGGGCAGGGACACTTTCCACTAGACCAGGTTGTTCAGAGCCCCGTCCAACCTGGCCTTGTCATGAGGTGGGATGTCGCCAGCTTGCTTTGAGACCCTCGTTAATTAGAATAGTATAAGCAGAATAGTGCGTACACAGCTTTTTTTGGTTCAGTCTGGAAGCAGAGCAGTCTAATGAAAGAGGTTAGAAAAAAGAAAAAAGAGAGGACATGCTGCCCTCGTGAGGTGTCTGTCTGTAACTCCATGATAAGAAAAAAAAAAAAAAAAAGTATTTTGGGTGAATGCCAGGTAGCAATGCTGAGAAACCACCAACCCAGACTGGAACTGCTTTGTAGGAGAGGAGGCAGAGAGCAGAAATGGATACATTACCCTCTGGAGAAATATTTTGTCATTTTATCCCAAGCAGCGGTACCACATGGAATAACAAATGAATTTCTCCAGTGCAAAACCTTCTAAGCTTCATGCTGCAAAGTGATCCCGTGGAAAATGTTGCTATTTGGCAACACCTCAGTTAAATGAAGTTTTTCCCTCTATCCTGACCATCACAAAAATGGGCAATTTCCTGCCTACTTGTGCCAGGGGTTCAAGGGACCACCTTTTGCAGCCAAAAGGGCAGGAAGAAAAATGCTGATGCAGAGCTTTCTCTACTCTGCTTTGTGGTTATCTTTTCTTCTTTAGGTTGGGGGACTTGGGGGTGAGGATGTTTTAACAGGCTGTAAGAGAAGTCTGATGGGAATTTGAACTCTACCCGTGGTTTGATCATTTACCAGTTCCCTGGTTCTCGCAGATCTGATCCACCCTTGCCGGCTGATCCCGATCCACACATCGGGAGATTTTCCCCAAATAGGTCCTGGCTTTGCTCTGTGCTTTCTGTTGTGCTTTGATCAAGGTTACACAGTGCAGGATGGCCCTCCCATCATGGCTGACTGAGCCAAATATTGACCTCTGTGCCAAAATCTCACACTCCCTTTGCATGGCGTCCCCAAAACACTCTTAGTGTTGGTTTCTTAATACAAACATTGCTGTCTCATAACATTCTCCATGTTAGGCATCACAAAGAACTGGAC